GAAATAAGTTGCGAGCACAACTAGTAAATTATAAAGTTACAGAGTTAAGAAAAGCAGTTGCAGTTGAAGGATTATAACATGAATGTTACGGAAAAGAGAAATATAATATATTTCAACTATTTAAAAGTAACAAGTAAGTATATAAGTGTGTAAGCAATACGGCCGCTAGAAACAGAAATTTTATTCAATATAGAATATAAATAAAACTTATTAAAAGTCATTCTTTTGTTTTATTACTACTGAATCGAAAAAATACCTCTGTCCTGAGAAGAACCAGCAAGATCCTTTTTTAAATAATCTTACACACGTAAATACTTCAGAAATCGCATGACTTTTATAGAATTATACACGAACACGGGAAGAGCTACTAGATTCAAACGGAATTGAAAATGAAAATATTATTAAAGTAACGTCTACTTCATTTAGTTTTATAGAAAACATAGTCTACAAATAGAATTTTTAATTAATTCCTTATATCTTAGGTTAATTAATCAAAATTTTTTCCACGGGAACAGCAACACTACAATTCGTTTGATACGCGTACTTAGGTTAAAATAAATTCGTTTTTGTAGGTTTATGTCTTATTGTGTTGTGTTGCCACTTACGAAACACATAAAATAAAGCAGTCGATAAATTCAACACCAACCACACAATGACGTTATTAAAGTTACAACCTATATTCATCTCATTGTTGGCCACTGGCCTCATATTTCTGTGAGTTATGGAGCGGTTAGTTGGCCTCAATGCTCCGGTAGGTGTTGGTCTCGAAATATTTTATTCTTCAGAAATTTAGGTTTCCTCACGATATTTTCTTTTAAAGCTGAGATCGTGGTAAATTGAATTAATGCAGCTGGAGATCGAACCCAGGTTGTTAACACGACTAATACCACTTTATATATAATACTATTTTTAATATTTAATTTAATATATTAGTAGTACTTAGATTCATGAATAGCCATATGTAAAGAGGACAGATAGAAACATGCAATGATATTGTGGAAAGGAAGGAATATAAAGAGTGTGTTAATCAACCCAAGCATATGCTTAATAACTTAAGTTAGGTCGTCTTCCACTGATGCGCTGGTATTCACCGCAGTGGTCTGGAGGCTAGTCCATCCGAGTGTTCGTTTTTGCTAGCCCCATGTCCGCCGCCTATCGGACTCGTTCGGACCAGTTGCACAGGTAAAATTGCAGGCCGCAAAGGAAGGCGCGCCATTATTCTTAGTGCACTGCCTTACCTGAGAAGGAGAAGGGGAAGGAGTTGTCGTGCCGTGGTGTGGCAGGCACTAGTGGAGCCACGGATGTGTGCGAAAGCGTTCCCGTGGCCCTGCCAATATACGGCGAAGGAGGAGGACCATGGGATTTTAATGGGAACGAGTATGATAAAACTTTGCCGTAGTAATGCCGTAGTCCTTTCCCCGTATAAGAAGTCGTCTAATGCACGAACGCATTCATAATTTAGGTAAAATACACTAATCATAATGTGATCGTATAAAATAGGACTGATTACAAAATTACTAAATATCGGGTGTCCCAGTAAGAATGGATAATCCAGGTGTGCCTAATAGAAAAAAAATCCAAAGAAATATATATTCCAAGTGGTGACAAAAATATGAAAGTTAAAAAATTTTTATTGACTTTACTGTACTTTCATGTTTACCACTGCCGAAAATAACGAAATTCGTTTCGTTTTTGGTGTACTGTTATTCCTTACTGACTATTCTATTAGAAATACAGTAAATAGTATGAGTATCTACTGTATTTTTTTACAAAAAAAATGTTAGCATTAATTTTTATAAAAAATAATTTTGACAAAAAGTTGACAGCCAATCGCAAAGAAAAGTATGAAGACCCAAGTGGTTAGCTATTTCAAAAATATGCGCAGGTAATACAAAAGTATTTTTTTCTTTCTTCAGTCGAATTTAATATTTTTGCATCTTAAACGTTAAATAAAATTATGTATTATACCATTTAGTAAACCTTATTAACTGCGCGTATTTTTGAAATAGTTGGCCACTTGGGTCTTCATACTTTTATTTCAAGAATAGATCCTAAGCTTTTGTCAAAATTAATTTTTTTATAATATTTTATGCCAAGAATTTAAGTATCTTTTTGTGATAATCTACAATAGATACTCTTTACTGCGTTTGTAATAGAGAACACCAAAAACCCAACGAATTTCATTAATTTGCTGCAGTGGTGTACATGAAAGTACAGTAAGGTCAATAAAAACAAATTTTTAAAACCCTTATATTTTTAGCACTACTTGGAATATTTTTTTGTATTTTATTTGAGCGCTACATACCTGTCCTTTTAAGCGCTCTAGGATTATTCATTCTTTCTGGAACATCGTGTATACGTATATATGTATCTCATACCCTAGATACATAAAATAATGAAAAATTACAAATATGCGGGAACAATCAAGGCACACAGCAGTTTTCCGCCGTAGTTCGGAAAAGAAAAAGGTGACACACTGCCAAAGTCACTTCAAGATGGCTAATGTATTTGAATTTTGGCATCAAGATAGATCACTCGGCATGCAAAAAGAGAAAACTAGAAGTTAACAAAAAATTTATTTGTTGTTAAAAGATCTACAAAGTGTGTAGTTAGTTTCAAGCAACGACACCAATAAGCTTCAGAACATTTTTTTTTTCGTTTAAATTATTTTATATACAAAATACTAATTTATTTAATATTTATAACCACAACCAAAAAATTAAAAACTAAAACGATGTTACAGTTCTATTCCCCGCGGTATAGTGCCAAAAAAGATGGCTATCTTTCCTCACTAAATGGTTACTTTTGTATTTAATCAAAAAAACCTTGATATCAGCAGGAACGACAAAACGTCGCGGATACTACGGCAAATGGCTCAAGTGTGTAGTTATCTTCATAGATTCATATTTGCGTCACCTACTTTTTTATAAAGATTAAGAGTGCCAAACCAGCACACAGTCCATCTAAAGGTAAGGGAATGATGTGGCCCATAGACATCTACATCTATCTTCGATTAACAATCAAAATGCAGAACCGATACCATGAGGAATTAGTTGAAAGTCCTCGTTTCCAGTAAAAATGATCTCATTTTCTCTACACTTACTCGATTACTTATGGAAATTGCTACAATGTGAGCGTACATATGAAACTGACATTTACGATTTTATTAAATAAATAAACTCAAACATCATGTGTTAGAATCAAATAAGAGAAATGAGGTAGCTAAAAAATAGATCAAGATACGTAATATGGAAGCTCGAAATTAAGCTCAATTTTGTTCAGAAAATTATAGTTGAATAAAGTTATGCACATATTTTCAGTTCAGAAAAATTTAAAAGATATTGTTTTTCCTAGAAAAAATTTGCGTATTCTACTTTACTTTTTAAAATAATTACCCGAAATATTCTAAGTTTTAAATGATTCTGTTCAATACAGAGTTTTTGTTCATGAAAAACTCTGCACGAGTTTCTCGTTAAAATAATTTTAAACAGGTAATCCATAAGAGAATTTCTGAACGTTCTCAATCGACCCCATATTTTTTAACTAATCGCCCCTTTCATCAGTCTAAATCTCCTTTACACATAAAATAATGATAATCAAATTAAACTGGAAAGGGAATATTCGAAAGGAAAACATGATGTTGTATTTTGGAAATGTTGTATACTGATATAAAGTTCTAGAGTAGCAGCCTCGTAACGGCAGGCGAAATGTAGGGCGCTCCTGACAACGAATGAAGACCTGGTAAGAAATGCAGGAAGTCGATAGATGCAGGTGACACAGGATCGTGCTCTGTGGCATTCTTTGGGGGAGGCCTATGTTTTAGCAGTGGACTTGTGAAGGGCTGTAATGATGATAATGATACTTATTTTATAATACTTTAAAAGACTTAAGTGATTTCACTTATTTCTTTGACCCTTTTATACATAGTAAGCTACACAGCATTATACAACATTCATCATCATCATTACAGCCCATCACAAGTCCAGTGCTGAATATAGACTACCCCCAATGAATGCCACAAAAAAGTAGTCCTAAGCCACATGCATCCATTGATTTCTTGCATGTCTTACCAGGTCATCAATCCATCCAGTGGGGGGTCGCCCTATACTGCGCCTAACGATGAGGCTGCCACTCAAGAACCTTTTTTTCATCGTTTGTCGGTTCTTCGAGCTATACGGCCGGCCCATTGCAACTTCAGCTTACTAATCCGTTAGGCTGTATCGGTCACTCTGGTTTTTTTTATTTATTTATTATTAAAAATACAAAATTTAGTTTTTAAATATTCATATTCCCACAAAACTGCTTACACAGTTTGTCTGCAGGAACATTTGAGTCTCATTTACATGATATATAATATTAATGCTAAGCACTGAAACTTGCCAATAAATATTTCTTTAATTTATTTTTAAATATGTTTTTTTACTGGTTCACGTCGAATGTCCTCAGGCAAACTGTTGAAAAAGTACGGTAGTCGTTTCTTTAAAGTTCTATCCCCGAAGTAGTTATTTACTTTTGGTACAACAAATTTGCCTGCAGACATCGACAGTGTACCCTGACCACGCTTGACCGGTATTAGAGTACGGTCTCGAAAGTTGTAATTGTTTATGGCAAGTAAATATTTATGTTTTAAACTAACTGGGAGTATTTTGCAGATTTTAAATAGTTTTGTGTAATCGCCTCTACAAATAGCTTTAGTTTTTTTATTAACGAGCAACTTTAAAAATCTAATTTGTAATGCTTCAAGCTTATCAATGTAGGTTTTAAAATAAGACCATAACAGTCAAGAGCGTATCCCAAAATCGAATCTACCAATGAAAAATATAAGCATTTTAATGTAGCAGAAGGATGTTTAAAACTTAAGTGATAAAATTTACTTAGAAGTAATCTTAACTTATTACATACATAATCTACATGGCTGGACCACGAGAAGTTAGTATCAACTTTAACACCGAGGTAGGTTACACAATCGACTTTTTCAATAGGCTCACATCGACACTTATTTAGACCATTATGGAGGCACTCAAAGTTTGAGTATACATTTGAGGAGACGAGTCAGTAGGACGTAGATAAGGCGACTGAATGATAAGATACTTGGTTTTATCTGAGTTTAAGACGATACCATTATCATGGGACCATTTAACTACTGAGTCTATGTCTTGCTGTAATAGGTGACATGTCTCCATGAGATTAGTACTAGCACGTAATGTACATAGGTCATCTGCGAACATGTATGCAGAGCTATGCTGAAGTACGTCACATAAGCTATTAATATGCAGTAAGTAGCAAATAGGCCCACATCCCGAGCCTTGTGGCACCCCGCACCTCACCTCAGTCGCCTCACTAAACGTGTCTCCAACCTTTACACGGAAAATGCGTGATGCAAGATAGTCACGGAACCACTGGTTTAACGGTTGTCCCACGCCACATTCGTCCATTCCATTTAAGAGTGTTTCTGTTTCTAAGGTATCAAATGCTTTTTTGAAATCATAAAAAATAGCAACGACAAATTTTTTATCTCCTAAATATGAGTTAATTTCGTCAGTAAATTTTGATAATAATGTATTCGTACTTTTTCCCCTTTGAAAACCATGTTGACGTTCATTTAATATGTTATTTTTTTGTAAATAAAATCCAAGTTGATTTGTTATACATTTCTCAATAATTTTATCAATACTAGATAATATAGCAATTGGTCTATAGTTTGAAAAAGATTTACGATCACCCTTTTTATGGACTGGACGAATTATAGCTTCTTTTAATTTATTCGGATATCTATGGTGCTTTACCGACAAGTTAACTATATTAGCTATGACAGGACTTATTTTGTCAACAACTAACTTTAAGTCTGACATCCGTACGAGATCTGTTCCCGGCGATTTATTTTTATCCAATTGATTAATAACAACACGTTTGACTTCTCCACTACTGACCGGTTGCCATCTCATACATACGTCAGGTCTATCCACGTAATTGTCCCTCACTAACCATTTTTTAGTACATGTGTGCCTTATGAGGTCGACTTCACTTAAAAAGTTATCAGCAAACTTACCACAAATTTCTTTTACACTATCTTGGTTTCCCATATTAGAAATTATTAAGTCGTCTAGTGATTTTCTTTCATTACCCAGTAAACTATTTATCTTATCCCATATTTTCTTTATATTTTTATTACAGCCTAGTATACTTTGTTTGTCATATTTCATTTTACATTTAAAAATAGCCTTACTACATTTATTCCTATATTTAGTATAAATTAATCTCTTTATCATATTTTTTGGTTCATTGCACCATATAACAAATAACCTATCTCTTTTTAAAATCATCCCTTTTAAATTTTCACTTATCCATCCTTTATTTCTAACACTTTTATTTACCCCAACCGTTTGCGATTTGTAACATTCATTATATATATTAGTAAAAATACTAGAAAAAGCCTCGTACAACTCAACTGGGCACTCAATATTCAACAAATGATCAAAATCTGTTAATAGTAATTTTTCTCTAACTAAAGGATTATTTAGAACACATCTACTGACATGTCGCATAGGCGTACGACTATCGGAGTGGGTGATATGACCCACGGAAGGAGCGCGTTTCTATTGTATCGCTGCCGATACATAGTAATGGTCAGATATTTTATGTTGTATTACAGCTGATTCAACTAATGGCAAAGGTGCCCTTATATAAATATGGTCCAAACACGATTCTACAATGTTACCCATGACTATTTCCCTTCGTGTTACATCGCATATGCACCTGGCAAAACCATATTCCGCCATTATATTTTCATACAATTTGAGTTATTTATGTCACCACAGAATATTGATTTTGAGCGCTTAGGTAATTTGCTAAATAAATTTCTTAATTCAGCAAAAAAATCACGAATTCTGTCTTGGTTGCGGAAACGAGGCGGCCTATAAATAGAAATTAAATAAATGTGTTCCCCATTAATGTTGAGTGTAATGGAAACGCACTCCGCCGAGCGCATAAACACTACTCGCGAGCTCAGCCGTTTTGCTCACATGCGCTTGAGCTTCGCTCGGGAATACACAAGTACACCTCAGCCGTTACGTCCTTGTCGTGTATAAATATTTACTTTGAAACCAGGGAATTTTGTAGAAAGATAATACAGAATAATTAATGTTTGGTTCAGTTATCACAATGATATCCAATTGGCTCAAATTACTACCGAGAGTAACTAGGAATTCATTAAAATGTTTTTTTAAAGATCGTATATTCACATGTAATAAACGTAAGTCCTTGATATTGTGTACTTGTTGCACCCACGTATTTATGCTATCAAGTATAACTTACAGATTCATCGCGTAATATGGAGTCGATATTGCTTATGTCCGTGAATTTATATGAAAAATAAACACTATAAGCACTGGAGTTAGTAATATTTTCACTTTTTGTTAAGTAGATCACAAATGTCACTTTCAGCTCGCACGCATATTGCTTTTTCACCTTCACATTTTTTGACTAGAATTTTTCCGTTCGAGACCCATATGTATTTATAAATACCTTGAAGTTGTTTCTTAGTACACCATAGTAGGGTTCGTGTTGTCTTGGTCAAATCTTCATTTATGTAGATTTTATTCAAAGCCGAACCATTTGTAATCATATTACTCGTCGTGTCTGATAAGTTGCGACGCTGAGCAAGCCAGCTGTCTCTCGACCTGGTACCTGTAGTCTTAAGCCCACGATAATTGGCGGTGGTTTTTTTGCTTTCTTTTAGTGATCGAGTACGTCTAGCCCATTCTATATCCGAACTGCTCACATTGATAATATCGCCTATTTTTGAGACAATCTCTGTGACATTTTCACCGGGAAGCTGTTCAACGCCTACAATCTCGATATTGTGTTTACGAGATACCTGCTCAAATTCGTGTAATTTTTGTTCGAGGGCGGTGTTTTGTTTTTGCAAATAGACGTATTTGTTGTTGACATCAGCGACAGTTTTCTCAAGCTTATGTATTTTATCTTTTGATTGTTCATGTTCAACTATCAATGTATCATACTTATCGGAAAGCATACTCAAACTTTGCGTAATTGTATCAAGTTGTTTTTTGAATCCGGGAATGGCAGATACTTTTAGCTGTATGTCCTTGAGAATTTTAGTGTAGTCCTGTGAATATTCTTGCTGTTCTTCTTCTTCAGATCCATCGTCTTCACAGTTATTACAATAGTTCCGATTCCTCCCATTTTTTATATCCGCCAAAAGACCCTTAACACAACCTCTATGAAAAGTTCCTTGACACGGTCCTTGGCAAATGAAGTGTGATCCTTTTTTCGCTAAAATCTTCTTACATTTTTGACACTCCATTTTGACGCGTATTTAACAATTACCAATATGTAGGTATATCAATAGATTGCACGAGCGCGCCGCGTAAGGAATTTCCTGCGCGTGTACACCCTGGTCAGCGTCGAGAACGAGACTGACATCCTCATTTCTAAGTTTATCACGCAGAGAAACTCCGAACATAGCCCTCTTCATAACATTCATGGCAACCTTGAGCACCCTCACACGAACAGCAGTTAAGGATCATGTCTCACCGGCAACGCGCACTGGTTGAACAATCTAGTTTTCAGGTTTTGAGGTATTTCTCAACACCTAAAGAATTTCCCGAGCTCAGCTCAGCCGAGATGAATCCGTCGATTGACCTCTCGGTTGAAGTTGTACTTACCTATAGTAAATTTATTTTGTCCGTGCAGTTGTGGTCATAGATTATAGCTCAGCCTCAGCCCGGCTATGTCGGTGAGCATGTTGCGCGGGCGCATCGCCATTATCGATAACAACAAATGACTCATCGAAGGCAGGCGGTGGTGCAGTATACAAAGGGTGGTGCGACATTGTTATGTTATGAGTCATTTGTTTTCCATTATTACCCCAGCCTAGTACTTGCAAATTAGTGCAATGATAATTTAGTACATATATTGAAGAGAAATTTGTTATTGTGCATTCGCTCTCTGAATTTCTTAAGTGACACAATGGCTTCTCCTTTGTTTTATACCAAAACGGCAGAATTTATGCAAAATAATATTGAAAAAAAATTGGATCAGTTAGCTTTGGAGTCAGGACACAAAATGATTCGCTTACCATCTTACCATTTCCAATATAACTCAATTGAGTTGGTGTGGGCTCAAGCAAAAAAAATTAAATTGCCACCAAAAACAGCACTTTTAAATTTTCAGACGTCGAAGTGTTACTGCATGAAGCAATTTCAAACGTTTCGCAAAAGAACTGGGAAGATTGTGTGAAGCATGGAGAGAAACTCTAAGAGGAAGACTTGTAGAAATCTCATCTGGCAGATGATATCGTATATCATGTGGCTAACGATTACTCTGATGATTCTGATGTAGAATTTAAATGTAAATAGTTTTAGATTTAATTTTAGATATAAGTTATTATCTTTATATTTATAACATTTGTACTTATAGTTTTTTTAATACATATCTACCTAATTAATAATTTATTTTCAATCATTCAAATCATTATTATTCTTATTTCAGTGAATACGAACGTATTCACTGAAATAAGAATAATAATGATTTTATCTATTTTTTTTCTATTTTGTCACTAACCCACATACCGACAAAACTAAATACACTATCGATAACGCTTATCGACAACAATAATGCGCATCACTATGCTTGCTCCTAAGATCATCGAATTATTTTGCTATTTCTTATTTTCACTCATGGGGAGTGGAAGAAAGAGCAAAATAATCCGATGATTTACAACCCAAACTGCACGGACAAAATTATTTTAGTATAGTCGGACTATTTGTCCCAGGTAAACGTACTTCTCAACAAATTCGAGCTTAGTATTTCCAACAACCACTGGCATAGGTATGACATGTACATTTTACATATGATCTCTATTTCGTCCATATTCATCTTAAGACCGATCCGTTGGGAAACTTATTGAGGTCATTGAGCATTATGCTTAGGTCCTCCAGCGAATCTGCATAAGGACAATACTGTCGGTAAATCAAAGGTGAGTAATGTACTCGCCATATATGTTAATATCGTATCCTTTCGAGTCCAGTAGCTTGAAAATATTTCACAATGCAGCAGTGAAGAGTTTTGGGTACCACCCTGTTTTACACCTCACTGGGTTCTGTACTCGAAAAACCATTGTAGCTCTACTGTACAAACACTTCATGATTTTGATATACTGACAGTCAACTTAGTACCGTTGAAGGGACTGCAGCAAAGCCCAAATTTTGACGGAGTCAAAAGCTTTCTCATCGTCCACATAAGTAAGACAAAGTGGCAAATTGTACAATTGGAACTTCTGCACAATTTGCCTAAAGCCTTTTCGGAAACCGGCTTGTTTGAGACGCTGGAAGTCGTCGAGTCTGCGTGAGAAATGATTTGTGAGGACTCGAAAACAACATGTATATGAGAAAATGAGAAATCGATCTGTAGTTCTTCAAGAGACCTTTGAGCTTGAGATCTTTTTCTTAATGAACAAAACTACTGCAATTCTGCTCCACACCTCCGCAGTAGCCACCATGAAGGACGGAATTAAAGAACTTTGAGAGTTTCACCCGTTTTCAGAAGCTCCGCTGTAATTCCATCCTCGCCCGGGGACTTACCGTTTTTAAGGTGCTGGATAGCTACTCTATTCTAGCTCAGACTGACGACCCGGATAACATCGGAATGGCGTCGAATAAGACTTGCTGTTGCATCGTTTACACATACGTGTAACTCCAACGATGACGTGTACAGCTGCCCATAGAACCTCTCAATCTCACTCAGAATCTCAGGTGTCTCGGAAACGATGGTGCCACATTCGGTATTCAGCTTCGACAGTTGGCTCTTTCTGACGGAGAGATCTCTGCTAAAGAATTTGAAGCCCTGGTTCCGCTCGATCGCTTCTTCAATATGTACGAGGATTATTGTTAATGCATAAGCCCCGTTACATGCATTAGGAGATCTGTCTGTTCATTTCCTTTTATCCAATCAAATCTGCTGAAGACTGTAGCTACATCTCCCGTCTAACAGTCATGAGATTAAGAGCGTGATCAGAGAATTTTTGTGTTCCTCTGCAACGGGTTTTACAGAACATAGCTCTGATCGCATGGACAGTTTTCACAAGCTGGTCGTTTATATCGTCCACTTCATTGCAGTTTTAGGCTCAAAGGTTTCGGGGCTTTGGATTAGATCACGAGGGGAAGGAGCGTATACTTCATTAGACGAGACCTCTTCAACTTCATGTTTAGGTTCAGTGTGCCTGTGGTCGTTTAAAGAAAAGGGGAGATCTCCCGCCGGGCAAGGTGTACTGCCCGGGGAGCGACCAAAACTCCGTGTGATACTTCGGAGCTATTCTATAAATAACGGTGTTACTTCGGAACACTGATACCGTGATGTAGGCTTCGACGTGTTTCGCTTGTGACGCAACGACAACACCGCCACATCACCCCTTATACTCAGACTGGAGGTCGATAGTGCAGTCTAATTGCAGGTGCATCCTTAATGCCAGTGGGGAATGCATGATGTGTGCTTTAAGCAAGTGACACCGGTGCGAACGATATGCCGGTGTGTAATGCATGCCATACTATGCACTTGCAACTGATGCTGGTGAGAACTATGTGCCGGAGTAAGTGCCAAAAGTCTGCCTTATCAATCCGCGGTCAATCGAGATGAAGACAAGTTGAACTGGCTAGCAGAAACTGAAGACTGCAAAAGACGATTCTCAGTAGTGAATGGTAGGGGTTCTTGAGAGTAATAACTAAGGCTTGAAATTGTAGTTTGCGAAGGTTGTTGGATGCGAGTTCACATCACGTCGGGGTCACCACTGTAGCCATAAAAGAAAAAGGGGAGATCTCCCGCCGGGAAATGTGTTCTGCCCGAAGAGCGGCCAACGCTCCGTGTGATACTATAATAATAATTTATAATAATTTCTTTATAATTTCATACATCATTGAGCCCTGACTCCCAAACTAGGATACCCTGTATTTCAGGAGTCAGTTCCTTCCCATTCAGGAACTCTTTGTGTCAAAAGTACATTAGAGAAATTTTGATATATATTTAATACTCAGTTAACACTGTGTGTGTGTGTGTGTGTGTGTGTGTGTGTGTGTGTGTGTGTGTGTATGTGTGCGTGTGTGTGTATGTGTGTGTGAGTGAGTAGCGTGTTTGTTGCACTGCACATAAAGTTATTCATATGCTAGCTATTAAATTTTCGCATTTATCATAGTCACATTCTTCCAATTATATAAAATACTTTTAAATGTATGATTTGAAGCCTTTCTTGTATTCACTGTTTTATTTAGTATATTATATAACTTGGGAGTTACCTAATTATAATTCCTTTTGCCGAATATGGATTTAAATTTGGGGATACTAATACGTACAGTTCTTTTTGAATTTTGTATTTGCAAAACACTACATCTATGAAAGCGTCTAAGACATTGATATATGAATAATTTTCGAACAATTAGTACATCAGTTAACTTATATACTACGGAGCTATTCTATATATACTGTTTTACTTCGAAATTTGATAGCGCGGTTTAGGATTCGGTGTGTTTCGCTTGTAGCGCGACGACAGTGCCGCCACTTGCCTCTTACCATTCGGTGATCGCTGCCAGTTTCGCCAGTTATCACCCTTGTGATCGCTGAGAAATCACTGAAGAGTTGTCGTCTGGTCGTCATAATGAAGTCAATCTCATTTTTGTCGAACCATCGGGGGTCATTGAATCTCATTTTTGTGGGACCGCTTCTGGAAGAGTGTGCCGAGTTTGGTGCGTAAACCTGTATAATCTTCAGCGAATATCGTTTGGTGATTCTAAGTATAAGTTACGCAACCCTCGTCGACACACTCTCAATGTTTACAACGTTGTTTACGAGAGAATTGTAGACGATAAATCTGACAAATCCTTGGGACAGATAGTCACCCTCTCTGTGATGGAACAAGTTGCCAAATTTGAGGATTACCGTTTCCTCTCCTCTCCTCGAACCTCAGATAATCCTATAATATCCCCGCGTAACTTTTCTGTAACTTCTTCCAGCTGCAGGATCTTCTAGTCTGTCCTCAGGGTGCGTGCGTTCTATGTTGCCAGGTCGAGTAGCATCTCCACCACCTGCCCCACCATTATCATGGTCATCACCGTATCGAGGAATAGTGGGGCTGCCGGGAATCGGGGGCCATTTATTTGTGTCGCTGCTCATGGGCAGTATATTGTCATAGCTGTACGCTTGGCAAGCGGGTTGGCAACCACAGTTTTATTGCTTTTTGTTGTTATCAGAAAGATACTGCTGCCCATCTTCTTCCTCAGTTTTCCTCTGTCGCCCTTTATGATATCCATGGGAACG